TTGAGCCATCAGTTCCACTTCTGGCAATGACTCTTACGGACGAAAATAAGATAAGTATGCAAAGAGAGAGGAACAAAAATGTTTTTCATAATATATTGGGTTGTCAAAAACGTCGTGACGTATTTTTTCTGGTTTTCGTTGCAAAAATGCGCCATGACTTTCCCAACAACCCAATAATTTACATAGGAGCGAAAACTAGAATGTCCGACCAACTACAGTTAAATTCATTCGGGTTGGGTGCATGCATGAGAGGTCTATCACGAAGCCATTACAATCTGTGAGATACATCTTTGTTATTTGGTTATTTCCAGTATAGTATTCAGGGGAGACAGTAGGCACAAAACAGTTTCTCATCACCATTGGGGAAGAAAAAGAAAAAAAAAGTCCTGTATGAATAGGAAAAATTCTAGAATGATGAATATACCATATCCCTAAAAAACCTTTTTATGTATTATCTGGTTTTTTCCCCCACAACAGTTATGTATTATTTAAACAATTAAAAAAATAGATTTTAGAAAAAGCTGCTCCTTGGGGGAACCTTCTACCCTTCAGCCGAGACCAGCTATGCAGGCCACAGACTTGCCCTGGGACAAGTTGGGATGGCTGCTATGCACGAGTGGACCCAGCTTTCTACTTTGTGCCAATACCTCCTTCTTCTGCAGGTAATCCAGAGTCTAGAAATTTCGATGTTGAAAATTATAATTGTCAGGGCTCTCGATTGGGACAGAAATCCATCCTGAAGACGGTTCACTGGTTCGGCTGAATAATCCAGGTGCTGTGACAATGTCCTGGGGCGCAGCCCCTCGCTTGTCCCTCAGCTCTGCTGCTCTGTGGTCCCTTCTCCAGGAGGCTCTCCAGAGGCGAGATGCTTGCTGAATGCCCAGTGCAAAGTGAGCTGCCCTGTCCCAGCAAGTCCTGTAAGGTCCCAGGATGGAGCCGCATGAGGTGGGATTGGCTGGGTTGAGGTCCCCTCCCCATCATGAACTCATCTCTGCAGCCAGAAGGATGCCCCCTTGGAGTGTCCAGCTGGCACTGACCCACCTGTGCAGTGGGGGAGGGGACCCCTGTCCAACTCTCAATCTTGGACTCTTGCTTTCTACCAAAGCTCTTTCTCCTTGGGTGCGCCTCACTCACCCCAGGTCAGTTCACGCTACACAAAAGTACAAATCCAGAGTCTTGTTCTTCTCTGCAGACGGGGATTAGGACATCGGATTTTTCTTTTTTGCAAAGCCACAACTGGGCGGCTGGAGCAACCCCGCACTGTATTGTTCATCAAATAACGGTGATGATTGACGGCCTTTTGGATTCTCAGTTGTCACAAAGCGTGGAAGGGGTGCTGAGGGGAGTAGCAGAAGAGTGCGTGCCAGGCTGGTGTCTAGGCTGAGTTAGAATCGAATCAAACAAATGGGCACAAAGCGTAAAACGCCTGAGTAATCACTCTCAGGACCCTATTTACAATTCTAACTATTGTAAAGTCACGGCTACCAAGAATGGTTCAACTACAAATAGCTTTTCATAGTGAGAGTTCTGTTAATCTGGTCAGTTAAAAAAATAATGAGATGTCCGACTAGTTTTATGAAAACAAGTGAGGATGTCAGATTTCTGGATTTTAAGACTTCCCAGCAAGAATATTAATTCAGTCTCGAGAAGGAAGGTCTCACACATTACATTCCTATACAATATAGATGAACCTTGGGGACATGATGCTAAGTGACAAAAGCCAGTCACAGAAGGACAAATGCTACATGATTCATTGATATGAAGTACTTAGAGCCGTCAAAATCATAGAGACAGGAAGCAGAAAGAAGGGTGGTCGCCGGGGAGCTCGGGGGTGGGGGAGAGAGGGAGTTAGTGTTTAATGGGGACGGAGCTGCAGTTTAGAAAGATGGGAAAAGTCCTGGAGATGATGGTGGAGATGGTTGCACAACCATGCAGATGTACTGAATGTCACTTAAAAATGGTTAAAATGGTCAATTTTATGTTACGTATATTTTACCACATACAAAAAATCTTGGGAGAGGCTATATTTTTCCTTCATGGTGTTGAAGAAATTAAAAGTAAAGGTTTTTGTTAATAAAATTAAAAAAAAAAACCTTCATGGTCAAATGCAGTAGAAGCTACGTGGGAGCGTGTACAGAGGAAGGCTACAGGAGTTGCTGGCTGGGCGAGCACACTTCGCGAATTCCTGAAAAGCCCTTTTTCTAGTCATGGGATCTTGCGTTGTTACTGACAAAACCAGGCCAAAACTCAGTATTCGAAGAACACGTGGTCAAAAGGAATAAAATGATGGCTTGCTTCCTATTATTTTCCCCGTAATATTTGTTTGTTTATATAGAATACATAGAGCATAAAATTCACCCTTTCCAAGGGTAGAATTTTCTTAATTTGTTTCATTTTCAGATTGCTCATTGCTAAGTATAAGGAAACACAATTGATTTTCGTACACTGATCCTATATCCTACAACTGTTGAGACCTCTCATGAATGCACCGAACCTTAATTAATTTCACTGTAGTTGGTCGGACATTCTAGTTTTCGCTCCTATGTAAAGTATTGGGTTGTTGGAAAAGTCATGACACATCTTTGCAACAAAAAACATCGAAAAAATACGTCATGACTTTCCCGACAACCCACTATATTCTTTTGTAAAAAGTCTTTTCAGTACATAAAAGGCGAGAGTGTCCATAATTCTTCCCAGCCAGCCCAAGGTACCACTGCTGTCAGGCTGCTCTGCTTCCTTTCAGATATTTTCCTCTGCATGGGTGTGTGTGTGTGTGTGTGTGTGTGTGTGTGTGTGTGTGTGTGTGTCTGTTGAAAACACATATGTTTTAATTTTTTTAAAATGGTATAATGTATACATGCTAGTTCCTCTCCCTGGAAGAGTCTCTTGGTCCCGACTGAGAGCCCAGTGCCCCATCTTTCTTTTAAGTCTGAGATCGGGTCCCTCTTTTCCGTGGAACCTTCCAAGGTCATCCCATACATCAGACATCTTTTCCTCCTAGTGACAACTTAGGACCTTTGCCCTTCCTTGGCCCCCTCCTTCAGGTTACGTTTTAACACAGGAGATGCTGGGCTTTGAGCAGCGTAACTGCCCATACAGTATGCCTGGACCTCCCAAACATCTTTCGTACCTTGAGGAACATTTCTAGCTCTTACACGATGACAGTGCATAGCCACAGTTACACTGTGAGCCATCGGGACATCTTTTTATATGGCAGTTTGTCGGTGTGATGAGTGGACTTCAGCTGTCTTCCAGCTATGCTCATTCTGTTACCATAACCCAGGCCCCCTGTGTGGAGTGGGGCTGGGGGTGGGGTCTGACTGCATGGGAGAATCAGGGACAGAATGTCCCTTTTATTGTCATATTCTGGTGACATACCTGGCTTCTGGGTATGATGTGGTTTGAAGAAAGGGCTTTGCTGTTTTACAGAAACAAAATCTGGAAACCACTATTTTATTGCATTTTGCTCTATTATTTCATAAAATGGGACAGAAAGTAGAAAAGTAGAATTGATGATTTTAGTGGAAAACCTGTTAAGCCTCACAAATGAAGTACACTGATGACAAAAATGGAACTCAAGAAGCACGTGGAACCCAGGGATCTTTGGCCTGGGCTGAATATCACTGAACTGAAGCTAAGCCACTGGTGTTCAATTATGAAGGAAAAAGACCACATTTATAAAATATGTATGAAATGCTGAAAACCTACATCGTCAGATTATAACCAAATCGCGGGGAGTAACAGAGGGTTTTTAACTCTTTGGGAACAGGCTGCTCCTTGTAACGTGCATGTCTATTATCTGACTTTCACACTTGACTTCAACCCATGTTTTTCGGAATGTGCCAAGTACAAAGGGAGTGGAATGACTGGGCAACGTCACTGCAGACAGAGAGCTCCTTGTAATCACGGACAGTCCCATTTAATGGTCATGTAACAGATATTCTGTTGAGTGACTGACTGTAGCTTATTAGAATTAATCTAACCTCTTGAGGGGTAACTGGCTGCCAGTGCGTTTGCCTCTGTCTATTTCATGTACACCAGCCCTGAGGAGTGACTCAATATGGGGATCTCTGGCCTCCCTGTAAATCCACAGGACCTTCTCATGTGGTGATGTCTGCCACCGTGGATAACAAATCTAAACTCGTCCCCCTGATGTCTGACACTCAGACGTGGGTGCAGCCATTCTGCAGCCTGGGATGGGAGGTTCATGGCGACCGGGATGCTTAGTCACACTGATGCTCTCACTGCCACCTAGTCAGAGAGGTGGTACACCTTTTAGCATGAGACGCACATGCCACTCCCTAAGAATTTTTACAAGTCCGTCCTTCCTGGAGGACCACGTGACAATATGGATCAGGAGCTTTAGAAAGAAACTCATCTTTTGACCTAGAAATCCCACTTCTAGAATTCCTCCTATATAAACCATCAGACAGATGGGTGATAGCTGCAAAGATGTGCCGTGCAGGGTTTATTGTAATAATGATACACTGGAAAGAGCCAATCCAAAAGTGGTTAGAAAAAACACGTTTTGAGAGGCAAGGCTACTTTCTATACGATAGGTATCTATATGTTATTCTATGTATTAAGATTTTTAAGGTTTGGAGATGTTTATACCAAAATGTCAACAACAATCATCTTTGGCTGCCAGCTATCAGTGACTCAACAATTTTTATTTGCTTTATCTGAATGATCTGAATTTGCTGCAAATTTTTTTTTCTAAAATGAGCGTGTACTGCTTCTCTGTATGTATGTCATATTGTTTTTTAGGTTAACACAGGCCAATCAACCCAACTTTCAAAGGTCAGATGATACCTGCAAAAGAAGTTTGGTAAACATTCTAAACCACTCCTGAGAACTCTTTTACAGCGAGTCCTGTTTCTGAGGTCTGGGCATTCGCTATAATATCCTGTTTCAAATTCATCGATGGGTTTCCCCCAGGGGCCTCCCCGTCACAAAAACTCCCCATCAAGCCAAATGCCATAACTGCTCGTGACTCTTACCCGATAAGCTCTCCAAAAGGCCTGAATGCGCAGAACTGCTTCCACTTCTGTCAGCAGGAGGGACAGCGGGACTGGCGGCCGTGGGCTGAAAAGCAACAAAATGGTCATAAGCCCATGAGAATCCATCCCTCAGCCTCGGCGGGACCTCTGGCAACAATAGGGCGTCTCTGCTGCAATGCCGCACCCATCCCCATCCTTACAAAGCAACCATGTCACTTTTTTTGCTAAAAAAGCTTACGCTTGAGTTAGCATGTTTTCTTTTAAGATCTGGGATGGGTTTTTGGTTTTTAAGCAGCATGATCCCACATCACGGTTAGCAGCTCTGCTTAGAAGGACTCGCTTTATAGCAAAGCTGCTGGTTTGTCCTGAAGGTGTAGCATCCATGTCACTGACACGAGGCTGTGAGGGCACAGAGCGAGGGACAGAGCAGAAGCAAGCTCTACATACTGCATTCTGACCGGGACGTAATAAAGGGCTTTTTCCACCTTTCTACGGAAGGGGAATCAAGTAGTCCGTCTCTCTCCTGAGGGCAAACCATTGGAATTTCTCTCAGATCGGTGTGCATTCCAGTTTAATGCGGCTTCAATTCAAGGCTATTTTTTTAAGTCCTGTTACTACATCTTAATAAGCAATAAAATATCTCAAGTGCTGGGTCAGGTGACAGTGTCTGCTCTTGTGGGATTTTTCAGATTATGATGTGTGCGACTCTTGATCATAGATACTACCTTTAAAAATCATGGCCAAATGCCCTTTCCTCCCCCGCTCCAAAGTTTTATAGAGATACTGCTGACGAGAGCTTATGAGGCTGACTGAATTCTGGTTTTACATTTCCCCAAAGCACGGCTACCTCGGAAAAACTGGAGTCGAGACATTTCAAATATAACACAAAGAAATAAACCTCTGAAAGGACGTGGGTCACATGGAGGCTGTTCCCAGGGGAGCACCCCTGGAAACAAGGGAGGGACCCCCAAGTGCCCGGGCCTCAGAGCTCTCCCTAATGACAGCCATCATGTGAGTTTACAGTGATTCCCAATTACAGAGAGGCTGACTAGCCTGCCCAAGGTCACACAGCTTGTAGGCAGCCTCGTCAGGGCCCAGACCCAGCCAATGCCAGAGCCCAGGCTCCCCCACAATGCTGCGCTCACGCCAGACCTCCGCTGGGCAAACGCGTGTAGATGCCCAGCCTGGCACAGACTGCAGACAACTGGCAGCAGCACACGATCCTCCAGGATCTGGGTTCTATTTCCCTCTAAACTTTGACTTAAAAACGGCCACCGCCACCGCCACGGCCACCTCCACCACTATCACCCAAAACTCCCACCCTTGGTACAATGTGTTTGCGTGAATGAATGCATGCTGTTTGAGTTATTCTAGAATCAAAGAAATCAAAGCCGGGGAGAACCCCGGGAGTTATTGGGACCATTTCTAGTGGGAAGTGCTGTCGTCAGGTGCTGGTTCTCCAGCCACACGGGGCCTTCCTTTCCAAGACACCAAGTAAAGGAGGTTCTTCTATTTCTCTAGAGAGACAATGACACCCTCAAAACGACAGCGCTGTAAGGAACCTTTCTCTAATGTTCTATTTCTATTTGCATGATGTGTTGGCTCCCCGCCTCCTCGGTTTTGTTTTTGTTTTCAGTCCTTGCCTAATATGGGTTTTGTGGGAGGGCTGCTACTGGAGGTGCCCGGGCGCCCTGCTTTCCACACTAAACGTCTCCCTCTGTCCACTGTCCTCATTCTTTAAAGCTCGGTGGTGTGACACCGATGAATCGCAGCCCTTTAGCAGTTCTCCTTCGCTAGTTAAAAACCAATGGCTTCTAGGGAGACCTTGACGTTTGTCAGGAGACGTTGGTGTGCTGGCAGTGAACCTCGGAGAATAACGCCACCCTGCATGCCACCGTGCGTCAACGCGAGCGATACTTCCCGAGAGCTTTCCAGAGGCCCCTCCCGCCAGCTTCGCTCCTCGTGCTCCAGATGTGCCGGCCCTTTTCATGTCCTCCAACGTGCCCTCCCACCTCAGGGCCTTTGCAGAGGGACCCCCCTCTGCCTCCAGTGTCCTCTCACCCCCAACCGGGGCACCGCAAACAGCTGTGCAGGCTGTTCTCTGCTCACGGGCACCCAGACGGGCCAGAGGGAGCTGAAACCCCGCCCAGGCTCTGCTCACCCAGCCATGTTCAAGGGCGAGGGCTCCACCTGCCTTAGACCAAAGGCACCTTTTCCGAATTTGCTCCAAGGTGCCTAAGGGTGTGTGTGTGGGTGGGGGGGGGGGCTCACACCTCTTTTTCCCAATTCACCCTATTCTCTCTTCCCATCTCCATTCAGGCGCTCTTGCAAGATGTCTTTTGATTAGGCCAGGCCCCGGTGGAGTTCCGCGTAATTTTCCTTTTTAGTCCTTGGCCCAGATTGGAGAGAGAAATCTACGTGATCACCTGATTAATGCCCAAATCCTCCCCCGGGCTGAAAGCTCCAGGAGGGGCAGAGACGGGCCTGGGTTCGCTCTTCCCGGGAGTCCCAGCGCTTAGGCCAATGCCCAGCACAGAGCAGATGCTCAACAAACATTTGCGGGGTGAGCCTCTGAGCCTGACACGGTGCCAGCACCTCCCACACACGGTTTCATTACATCCTCTCACAATAAGGAGTTATTGTTAGGCTTGTTTTAGAGTGAAGAAACTGAGGCACAGAGGGATGAACTGAGGCGTTCAAAGGTCGCTGACCATTTCCTGCTGAGAATGCAAACCGGCCAGGAAACTGAGAGTGGCCCAAAGATAAGAAAGATGCGGGTGGCTGGAGAAGTCACGGACAGGGGCTTCAGGGTCTCGCAGCTGCCTGTGTTTGCAGAGGACAGCCCAGTCCATTGCTTACAAGAGAAAAATGATGGGGGGGACGGGGGAGAGCCGTAATCACAGAAAATGCCCTCTCCATTAATCCGTACAGTAATAACTTGGCAGGTATTCATTTGTCTGAAGCTCCTCGGGGAAATCTGATGTCAGGACAGCAGAACAAAGTGGAGTTTGTCACTCGGATCTGGGGGAGATTTGATGGCGCCTTTCTGTTCGGCGGCAATTTTCCTGCGTTAAGTATGTTTTTCTCTGCCGATGTCATGAAAGCCTCAAAGTAACTGTATGCCCGTTTTGGATCAGCAGCAGGAACAGAGCGCTGCGGATCCAGGGCCACAACAGGCTGGGCCCGCCCAACAAAGGGCTCTCGCCCCGGAATGAAACCCTCCACCGCTTTGCATCACAATGACATCTCCAAAAAGCGAAATGAGGTTTCTAATAGGCCTCCACATGGTAATAGGAGGCCACCTTTAGTGACATCCCTGCTTTCAGAGCGAAATAATGAGCGCTGTCTAGTTCTCAAAGCAAGAATAAGCACGAGAATGCCAGGGTAAATCAGGCCCTGTGAAAAGGACTTAATCTTCAGAGAGGGGTCCCTGGGAATTATCAATCATTTCCGCAGCCAGCCTGAAGGCAGGGAAGCCATGCCAGGCCCCGTTCTCTCTTTTGGAATCAGTGCAACTGGCTTCAGGTCAAAGAAAAAGAAGAGATTGAGTAGAGGCGACTGCTCATCGCCGGGGAGCCGGGGAAGGGGGAGGAGATGAGCATGCCAATCACAGGGGAGGCAGCTGGGGCTCCTCCAGGGCTGCAAACGGACATCCCCACAGCAGACAGGCTCGCGTGTTCCAACAGGCAACACTGCCGCTGACGGCGCTTCCAAGAAGAGCTGTTTCATTGGTGCTGCTCATTTGTCACGTTCTTCTTCTTTCTCAAATTAATCCACGTGAATCAAAGAGATCTGAATCTCAAGAATGATGCTATAATTCTGAGAAGGAACATGGATTACTTTTTCTGATTGTGTGTGTGTGTGTGTGTGTGTGTGTGGCACACACACACACACACACACACAATTCTTTCCCCGTTTTTGGATGCTAAGTGAAAGATCTACAGGACCTAAACAAGCTACAGCATGCTTCCAAAACACGTAAGGGAATCTGAGAGGTTAGTGTTTATTAATTTCTCCACCCAGCTCTGAGACAAGAGGTACCATCCAAAATTTACGCAGAATAAAGCAGAAAGGAGAAAAGCCTGCTTTACTTGTATATGCAATAGTGAATCTCAGAATCCAATTCGATCCACTTTTCGTTAGGTAAGAGATTAAGTTATTTTCTCGGACTGTGAGAGCACAACCAGACGCAAAACCGACCACATACAAAAATGACAACCGTCGGTCACAAAGCCTTCCAAGTGCCCAGTACTTGATATTATCTACCCATCGTATTCAGCGGGAGAGATCACCCAGTCCCTGCCCTCAGCCCTAGCTGGTTTCCCAAACATGCCTGAGGCATGAACTTCATATATTTGGAAGAAGTACAATAAGACGTGAACTGGGATGGTCCCTGCAGACACAGAGTGACTGGCCCTGAGGACGGGATCTCAGGATTCTTTCAATCCCAGCCTTCAAGGACAAAAGGAAGAGCTCCGAAGCCAGTCAGGAAGAGCCAGCGGCACGACGCCGGCAGCCTCAGAACACGTTTAGAAAGGTTACTGGGGTGTCATGGGGAGTGATTTTGCTTTCCCGAACTTCATCCTGGGAGACCAACAAGCAGCGGTAGCCCCAGCATCGGGCTGAACCATCCTCCGAGGTGAACACAGCGTCGAGCCCCATTTTACCAACCCCACCATTGGCCGCTGCATACGGGTCCAGGTACCGGTGCCAGGTAACAGCGTGTTGTGAGACCACCTGCTCACCCTTGGGCTGCTGGTATCACCGCCTTAAAAATCAGGACTCTGGGACTTAGGCTTTTTCATAAATATTTCATCTCGATGTAACCAATAACGTGTTTTCTCTAATGTGACTTAAGGAAAACCTCTTGCAGGGGATCTTAGCTTGTTTCCTGCCACGGACTCCTTTGCACTTAGGCAGTGGGGCGTCCTTCTCGGAATGCTTTTAAAACATAAAAGTACATGCATAAGATTACACAGCAAAACAATTATACTGAAACACAGTTATCAAAATGTTAAAAAGAACAGTTGGTGATATAGCAATATATGTGCTTGTAAATTATGCAGTAAATAAGAAAAGCTAATG